ACACAAGTGTGAACACACTTCTAAGGTGGGCGGCTTCTTGGAATTAATTTACTCCTTTTGATTTGAAAATGGTTAATTTGGTTTAGTTAGGTTCATTCAATGGGAATGGAACCTAGCTAAATCAAATCTATGAAAAATTAGGAGTAAAATGAGTCCAATATGAAAAATTTAGCCTAGGACCACCTTTGGCTAAATTGCTAGGAGCACTCTCTAGCTTACTAAGGACACTCTCTAATTTGCTAATGCCACTCCTACTAGAAAACTAAGAAAAGAATGTATTTCTAGGTTAGGTTAAATGGAGTCAAAGTGTCCAAGTAACCTACCCTAGAATCAATATACAATAGCTACTAAAAAGGGAAATAAAGTGCCTTACAAATACAAAGGCAAAAATAACCTATACAAAAGAAACTATGTACAAAACATATGAAAAGGTCTTGAAGATCATCCCATTCCTCTTGGTTCTTTTAGGATATCACCTCTTGGATTCCTTGGCCTTGGCCATAGTCTATCATAATGAATCAACCTGAACTTTGTCTGCAAAACTCAAACCACGGTACGTACGGATTAATTGCACAAAATTTGAATCACATAGATTATGATTATGACCTTCCTCAAATGAAACAACCTTAAATTTACAGGTTTTTTGATCCAAACGCACACGTAACTTTGCTTTGCAATCTGTACGAGATAGTGGTCTATGTTCTTTTTTCCTATCATCTCTCATCAAATGCTTTTTGTCTCTTAATCCAGCTTTGTTGCATAAATATTGTCGCATCACAATATTGTGCTTATCATCATAACTTACCTCATCTCTTCTGATCCCAAAACCATGACACTTAGCATAAGTGAAATAAAATTTATAAGCAGCATTTTCACTTGCAAACTCCAATCCAAAAATATCATCTGCCGTCAGATCAAGATAACTTTTGTATACATCTTCATTACCTTCAGCTTCTAAATAAACCTCTTCATCAATTTCATTATCTATATTAATTGATTTTTCAACCTCACTACGGTTACAATCAATAGAACCATTTTCATTCAAATTACACATTTCTTTAAACTCATCCATCTGCATAACAATGATAAAATCAAAAATAAAATAAAAAAATGCACAATCTTATAAATGTTCTTGTTATTCAGTCAAAACAAATAAAACCTTTTCAAAAAATTAACATGCACTTCATAATTTCTAACAAACTTGAAAATAAATCTCCTTTCGAAGAGTAACCTCATACAAATGAAGAATAAAAAACAACAAAAAATCAGAGGTCCTTGCAACAACATGCGACACAAGAGGAAAAATGAAAATGCAAAGGGTAGCAACGGAGGGTACACGGGAAACTTACCGTCTTTGATCGAGCTTTTGGTAGGGAGAGTAGGTTTTTGACCACCGGAGACCAGACAATGGGAGGTCATCGAAAACAAAAAACAACAGAAAATAAGCCGCCCTTGCAACAACATGCAACAGAGAGAAGAGGAAAAATGAAAATGAAAAGGGAAGGAACAGAGGGTACACGGGAAACTTACCGTCTTTGATGGACCTTTTGGTAGGGACAAAACAGACCCAAAGATGCGCGAGAGAGAAGATTGAAAACAATCGCGAGAGAGAAGCCACAAAGATGCGCGAGAGAGAAGATTCAAAACAATCGCGAGAGAGAAGCCACAAAGATGCGTCAGAGAGAAGATTGAAAAATGAAAATGAAAAGGCAGGGAGGGAAATAAGGAATATAAAACATATTTAAATAGACTGGGGACTATTATTTAAAAAGATATAATTAATGAAGGTTAAATAGCAAATATTAAAACATTGTTAAAAAATACAAGTGCTGGCAAAATAGCCACATGTCATTTGTTGTATAGTCCTAGTCACAAAGGATTTTGGTGCCCTCTAAAATAAACTTACACCAAAGGAATTGCCTTGTCAACATACCAATGAAATCTCGAGCCAAATTGGGAGACTCAATTCACTGCAATGCCAAAGAAAGCTTCATAAAACCAAAAGTCCAAAGCTAATGCTCGAATACCCATACGACAAAAAAGCAAAACTCTAAGTCACGGACTCTTCCTTAAAGAAAGAAAAAAAAAACTCCCTTTTCTTGAACCACTCAATCTCTTTTAAAGTTGAAATTCATTTGTAACCAATCTCCTCACTATATGACCATTTTCTTCCTTTTAATTAACAAACCTTATTCACAAATATATTTATATTCTATTTTATTATTTAATTACTTTTACTTTGTGATAAAATTATTTTATTTTTTTATAAGAAAAAAATTCATTTATTCTAAGAATAAATCTTGATAGATATACCCTACTCAATAACTAATGTTCTACATCAAAATTTTAAAAATCCAATTATTAAATTAAAAGTTTTTTAATACATAAATCAAATTTACAATTTTTTAAAAAAATTGAAAATCATATGATACTTCGTTAGATACATTCAAAATAATATCTTATAGAATGTCACCTTGTGAATTAGCTGAGTTAAAGAAACAATTAGAAGAGTTTATTGAAAAACAATTTATATGCCCTAGTGTATCACCTTGGGGGCTCCTGTCTTGTTAGTTAAAAAGAAAGATGGAAGTTTTAGGCTGTGTGTAGGTTATCATCAATTAAATAAGTTCACCATAAAGAATAAATACCTTCTTCCTATGATAAATGATTTGATGGATCAATTGAGAGGAGCAATTGTGTTTTCTAATATAGATTTAAGATCAAGATATCATCAAATCAAAGTGAAAGTAGAAGACATACAGAAAACTGCATTTAGAACAAGGTATGGTCATTATGAATATCAAGTGATGTCTTTTGGTGTTACCAATGCTCCTACAATGTTCATGGATTATATGAATAGGATTTTTCGTCCATTTTTAGACCATTTTGTAGTAGTCTTTATAGATGATATCCTCATATATTCTCGAACTCATGAGGAGCATAAAGAACATCTTCGAACTGTTCTTCAAATCCTGAAAGACAAACAACTATATGCCAAACTTTGTAAGTGTGAATTTTGGTTGGAGGAGATTAACTTTTTAGGACATGTGATTTCCAAAGATGGAGTATCTGTGGATCTGTCCAAAGTAGAAGTAGTTCTGTTATGGGAACCTCCAAAGATGGTGACAGAAATCCCTAGTTTTTTTGGGTTTGGTAGGATATTATAGAAGATTCATCGAAGGATTTTCTAAAATAATCATGGCTTTAACTCAACTCACTAAGAAAGGAAAACCTTTTGAGTGGACAGAAAAATGTGAGAATAATTTTCAAGAACTTAAGAAAAGATTAACCACTGCACCAGTCATAGCCTTACCCAATCGTAATGGACAATTTGTCATATTTTGTGATGCCTCAAAAATGGGATTAGGGTGTGTTCTTATGCAAGATAGAAGGGTAGTAGCATATGCTTCTAGGAAATTGAGAGCTCATGAAAAGAATTACCCAACCCATGACCTAGAACTAGCTACCATTGTTTTTGTACTCAAGATATGGAGACATTATGTGTATGGTGGTAAGTTTGATGTTTTTAATGATCATAAGAGTTTAAAATATTTGTTTGATCAAAAGGAACTGAATATGAGACAAAGAAGGTGAATGAAATTTTTGAAAGATTATGACTTTAAATTACATTATCATCCAGGAAAAGCCAATGTTGTGGTTGATGCACTGAGTAGAAAATCTTTACATATCTCTTCATTAATGATTCATAAGATGACTATGATAGAAAAATTTAAAGATATGAATTTGTCAACTATAGTAAGTCAGGATAGAATACAATTGCATGCAGTTCAAATTACTAGTGACTTACATGGATAAATCTGTGAGGCTTAGGTAGTTGATGAATTCATTCAGAAGAAAAATAGATTTTTGGGACAAAAGGGTGGTGAAAACTTTAATACAGATCAAAAGGGAGTTTTGAGATTTAATGATAGGATATGTGTGCTTGATTGTATGCTAGATGGTACACCAAGCATTAGGAATTAAGTTTTGCCTTAGCTTTGCATATCATCCTCAAATAGATGGACAATCAAAAAATATCATACAATCCTTAGAAGACTTATTGAGAGCTTGCGTGCTAGAGGATTCTGGTAGTTGGGATCAATATTTACCTCTGATTGAATTCACTTATAACAACAGTTTCCAGTCTAGCATAGGTATGACACCCTACGAAGCTCTATATGGTAGAACGTGTAAAACTCCTTTGTGTTGGTTTGAAACTGGAGAAAATTTAATCTTCGGTCCTAAAATGGCGCAACAAACCACAAAGAAAATCAAAATGATTCAGAAAAAATCGAGAATAACTTAAAGAAGACAGAAAAGTTATGCTAATAAGAGAAGATGACCTCTTGAATTTCAGGAAGGTGATAATGTATTTTTGAAAGTTACACCAACAACTAGTATTGGTCGGGTAATGAAATCAAAGAAACTCACATGTTGATTTATTGATCCTTACCAAATTCTCAGAAAAATAGGTCTTGTTGCTTACCAAATTTCTCTACCTCCTTTTCTTTTTAATCTTCACAATGTCTTTCATGTGTCTCAATTAAGAAAATATATCTTTTATCTTTCTCATGTAATAATGTCTAATACAGTACAATTAAAGGATAACCTTACATATAAAACAATGTTTGTACAGATCACAGACAAGAGAATCAACCAATTGAAGAGCAAACAGATTTCGTTAGTAAAGGTCATATGGAACAAAGACACTGGAGACGCTACGTGGGAATTGGAAGAGCAAATTAGGGAAAATTACCCTTATTCATTATGAGCAATAAAAATTTCGAGAACGAAATTTTGTAAGTAAGGTAGAATTGTAATATTCTGAAACTTTTGATATAATATTATAAATTTCCTTATCATTATCTTATTCTTAAAATAATATTTTTTAAATTTTTAGTTACCATATTTAAAATAAATAGATAAATACTGATGTTTTATTTTTGATACCTTATAAAATTTTATATTTTCAATAGACTAAAAAAATGTATAATATTTAAATATATTATAAATATTTATAATATTTTTTAATAATAACTTAATTATTATAATTACATGGGAAACAAATTAGATATATTATAATTTATATAATTATATATACATATAATATGGAATGGTTCAATGGTTTGTTTAGTTGTGCATAATAACCATAAGTTTTAGGTCACAAGTTCAAGACAAGTCATCACTCTATATATTTTTATATAACTAATAATAATTAAATAACTTTTATCTAAAACTTTATCTAAATCTGGACAAATCCTAGTAGATAAAAATTATAATGGTTTTATCTACTTATCTACAAGTACAACTCTAATAAATAGAGTTACGAACGGGAACGAGAAAATTGTGAGAGAAAGGAAGGAGTGAACAAAAAAACAAATTAGTTTTTTTTACACTAATGTAAGGGGGAGGAGACCTTTATCTTTTTAAATTTTATATACTATTATGTTTGTTTATTTTATGTTATATCTATGTGTATTTACTTAGTGAGGTGTCCTTAACCTTATTTACTTGTTTTATCTAAGATATTTTTTACTCTTAATAATTAATAAGGTGTTCTAGTCTATGTTGCTTAATTATTTTATTATGTTTATCACTGTCATTTACTTGATTAATATTCTTTAATACATTCCATTTATGTAAATTATATTATATTAAATTTTAAATAATTAAAAATACCTAAACTTATTTAGTTTAATTATTAATATTAATTATAATATAGTTTGTTAAAATATCTTAAACTTATCTTGTCGTTATTTCTTCATGCATTTATAAAGATAAATATTATTCTTTGGCCATAAGGATGAAAATTTGAATTAATTTGTATTTAGAGGTTTACCTTAGGGATTTAAATGAGTAAAAACTTAAGGTGAAATAACCTTTAGTTATTTGTTATTATAAAACTCATTTATCTTGACTAGTCACTACAAGCATAATTCAAATTTTTATTATATCAAGAAGAATTAATATATTCATTTAGTATTGGTTAAAAATATTTTGATGCATATTGTTTAGTTATTGATATTTATTGGATAATTGTTCTCACTCCTTATTTTTCTTGTTTAAAATATTTAATTATAATGAAAAATAGATGGATTTACCAACCGTACCAGATCCTTTCACTTTTGTTATCACCGCCATTTTTTCGGGTACCAGTTGGGGTATGGACGCAACTGCAAATGTCGTTACATTTCAAGGCATAGGAGTATCGACTTTTGTATTTTCACCAACCCAACAAAACCCTATTATTATAGATGGTCAAATAGTAGTCACTTTCTATCTTCCCCAATTAATCACGTTAACCCCATAGTAAATTTGTATCAACCTAATATGTAAATATTGTAATAGAAGTGTGAGAAATAAGTAGTTTATACTTTCGTACGTTATTGTAAATATTTTAGAATAGTACGTTATGTAAATATAAGTTAACTATATGTACATAAGTTTACAAAATCTTCTTTGTTTTTATGTAAAATATTATTATTAAAAGTTGTGTTAATAATGTATAAGAAATATATATTTAATATTATGCTTAATATTATACAAATTGGGCCTTACACCAACTTCTATAAAACCTTTGGGTTGATTCATTAAAATTTCTTCTTCCAAGTCGCCATTTAAGAAGGCAATTTTTACATCAATTTTATGAATTTCTAAATTAAAAACACAAGCAATAACAATTAAGACTCTAATAGTAGTAACTTTAGAAATAAGAGAATATGTATCAAAGAAATCTACACGTTCTACTTGTTTGTAACCAATAACAAGTCTTGTCTTAAAATTATCTATAGAACCATCCGCTCTTAATT